AAAAAAAAAAAAAAAAAAAGTAGTAGAGAAAAATTTTTGGATTGAACGTCGTCGAGCGAGCCTGACCCGAATCGCCGATTGTTGTTCGGCCGCGAGCAATAAATTCGAGAAGTAAAGAGTTGGTGGGGGGAGCGGAGCGGAGAGTGGGGAGAGGTGGGTGGGGAGGGAGGGGGCAAGTTGCGAGGAGTAGAAGGGTGAAAGGGGAAAAGGAACAAAACGCCAAGCACTGCCACTCCTCGACCCAGTTCACGGAATGCAACGCCACCATCAGGAACCAGGATTATACCTTCCGGAGGGCTCATTTTTTTTTTTTTTTTTTTATTCCTTGAACCACCACCCCTCAAACTCACACGCTTACTCCTCCTGTTTTTATTCATTTTTTTTTTTTTAAATCATTTTTACATGTTTTTTTTTCGTTATCTTTTCAGTTAGATTTTTTTTCATTTCATAGGACAAGTAGGATTTGATCGTAGAAACTTTGGGGAAGGGGGATGAGGGTGTAAGGAGGAAGGGAGGTTGGTATAAAAAAAAAAAAAAAGAAAAAGTAGGAAGAATTTATTGTAACATTCGTAACTGTCGATACTGTTGTTTGATTTCCGGATACGATAGGGTCGATTTTACTTTGATCCCTACTGGTTTTTTTTTTAAGTTCAAGTTTAAAGTCCTTCCGAAGGACTTTGTCGATCGCAACGTATTTTCTATTTTTTTTTTTCTTTTTTTACCTGACCATACACTACCACCACTACTACCACCACCACCACCACCACCACCACGTTTATATCGGTTGGGTTGAATGTAAGGTGGTGGGTTTATGCACGTGTATATATGAGAGGGTGGGTGTGTATGTATGTATATGTATACATGGATATGTGTTGAAATCCGATAAAATGGATTTGAGCGTTTTTATCGAGGAATTGAAGATATCCTTTTCGATATATTTGAGAATTACTGGAACGATCTTCTTCTTTTCGTGTAATGGATCTTATTTCAAATTAAATAACCTTTTTTTCTCTTCCTTTTTTCTTCCTTTTTTTTTTGTCTCCAAACTTAATTTGTAGAAAGAAAGAAAGAAATTAATAAATTTGTCCAATTTACACGTGTAATCAAATAATTCGTAGTTATAAAAAAATTCTATTTCAAATTATTATTGTTATTAATGTGTAATAAAATAAATAAAATTAAAATCACAGAATCACACATACACACACAGACACACATATTGAACTTTAATTAGAATAAAAATAATATAATAAATTTTGTAATAATTTAATAATAAATAAAATAAAATAAAATGTGTGGTGGTTAGGGTATTAATGCCGTCACCGCAGTAATAATCAATTGCACCTCAAATTGTTGCGACAAATCATAGAATAACAAAACTTGATTTAAAATTAATAAAACACTCTTTGAAAATTGACAAAACATTTTATTTATAAAAATGTAATCAACGTCAACTCTCCTCGCACCAGTAATACATGAATCTCAAAGCTGAACAAAATGGAATTCTGCTTAACTCAAATCAGTTGTCTTTTCTAAGTCCCACTTGCTATAAACACACTGTCTTAAATTATATTTGCAAAACTTACGTTTATTAAACTTTCGTTTAAAATTTTGGTTTATTAAACTTTTTCATTATTTCATTGATAAATAATATATCATCAATCAATCAATGAATCAATGAATCAATCAATTTCATGCATTTGTTTTTGTGGTCGACTGCACTCCTTGAAACTTGATTAAACTAATTAGACATAACGCGATTATTTCGACAGATAATTCCTTCTACCCTACGAAGCCATCAAGGGTTTTGCGTGTATTGAACTACAAAAGAGACAAATCTCCGATTGGTCGATTAAACTATCTCTTAGAGAGAGAGAGAGAGAGAGAGAACACACATCAGAATCTGTAGAACTGATTCACTAATTGTACAAATTCCTGAGTAAGCAATAGAATTTCCAACCCCATCCTCACCCACTATTACAACCCTCTCTATAATTTAATTTCAATTACTTACGTTCGATTTAATCATGGTGATAATAATTGCTACGTTTGAATTTCTTCTTCTTCTTATTATTATTTTTAATCCTATTTTATTTTTCATAAATATATTAACACTAGGTAGGTGTGCCCCTGCCACGCGCGTTGCTGTGGCTCACAATCAGTCTGACTTTTTGTTAATAAACAAACAATTCGATTATAAATTGAGATATGAACTATCCTATCTTTCAAGTTGAATGAAACTGCACATAGTGTGGAAAATTTGATTAAAATCGGTTCAGTAGTTTAGGAGTCCATTACGAACAAACAATCGTGTGACACGTAATTTACATATATTAAGATATGCTTTTTTTTGCTTATTATAATTATTTTTCATTGAATATTATTTTTCCTAAATATAATTATTTTATTGAATTTGTTGTTGTTGTTGTTGTTGTTGTTGTA